ATCTCCAAAGATTAAAAGAGCAGTGAAGACACACTTCTTGGGGAATCTTTAGCCATATGGTGGCTACTCTCCTCATCCTTGGCCAACACACTGTTGACCTCTGTGAGATTTACCAGTTAATTAGTCTGCTCCTGCCAGGATTTCTGAGGGCTTTCAGCACGAATTCTCACAATTACATGCTGATTACAGTGTGAACACTGGGCCCTCTGTCTTTTCTGCTACGGGACATGATGAAGCTGGGAGAAAAAAACAACAACAAACTAACTACTTTTTCTTCATTGTAAACCTTAATCTCATGCCTTTTGATGTTATATCTGTCAAAGCCTGTCCCTGACCTTAAGATTATCCATAACAAAACAACTATATACAGGGATCATTTATATATATACAGTATATATATATATATATATATATGTATATATATATATATATATATATATATATATATATATATATATATATATATATATATATATATATATATATATATATATATATATATATATATATATATATATATATATATATATATATATATATATATATATATATATATATATATATATATATATATATATATACTATATATATATAAATGATCCCTGTATATAGTTGCACATTAAAAAATGATCTCAAACAGAATAGTAATGCTGATATTTTTTTATAAAACTATTTCAGGTAATAGTAAGCCAAAATGTCAATGTCCCGTTGCTCAATCATCCTCAGGAAAGTAACAGGATTTCTGAACTAAATGTAGGATTTTCTGTTTTGTTTTGAGGCCTTTTCATCTTTTAGATCTTCAATGGATCAACGTTGATGGAGAAAAATCTTGATTCAATACAAAGCCTCAGTAAACCTCAGTGATTCAGGAACCGACCAGCTCTAATCTGTATGTGTATGAAACCAGTGATGGACTTGGACATAATAATATCCATTAACAAACACCTTTTCAAACTGGAAACACAATTAGGTTGGCTCTGTTTTATAAAGACCATGACAGAGGCTTATTTTAAAGCTACGTCAGCTACAGCAGACCTATAAAGACAAGGATATTCATTTGACTGTTTTGGTCGAAGAAACTGACAAAATACAACACCTTTAAGTTTGGACATAGGCTGTATTGTTATGCTAAAAAAAAGAAATAGAAATGATCCCCACCCACATATTAAATAAGCAAATATCACAGAGTGCAGGCTTGAATCTTTGGACGTTTATATTATGCAGGTGTATTTTACTAATGCTGATTTTCTCTTTACGTAAATATTTTATGAGCCGAAGGGCCTCATGTGTGATGGAGTTATTGCTTTATTATTTATTAAACACACATCAATTATACAGATGAGAATATGTGCCGTGCAAAAAAATGTTTAGCTTCAGCAGTAGATGATCTCTCCAGTTCCATTTCAAGTGTTTCGGATCATGAATCGTTCACACGTCTCACACATATTTATTTTCTTGTTTGTTTTGACACTTATTTTACTGTTTTGTAATTCAGACATCTGCTTAATTTAACTGTTTTTAGAAAGCAGTCTTTGACCAGGTATATGTCAAGTTTGCTGCACTTTTCAAAGCAAAAATATCTCTGATTGTTTTATTATTTTTTGCACATTTAAATCCATTAAAATCTTCAAAGGAGCAAGAATCTGACACTGAAGGCCAGATCTTTTCACTAGACGTGAGTGTTTGTCTGTGTGTGTGTGTGTGTGTGTGTGTGTGTGAGAGAGAGAGAGCTGCTCTCTTTGTTAGCGGACGACTGACGGTGGGACCAGTTGTTACAGGTCAATCTCAGCTTTATAACCGTTTACATAATAATAACGTACAGTGACGATAGCCAGTCAAGTTTAGGGTGAACATGCTTACACGAGCAGGTAATAGATTATGCCAAGACAGACAGATAAGCTGGCAGCAGCCTAATATTAGGATTCAAAGATGATTAGATGTAATGTGATGTTATGTAATGATGTTTATAGGAACAACTAGGAACAAGAAATGAAACAAGAAGACAAGAAGACAAGAAGACAAGTTAAGAGTTCAGGGTTAGTTCATCTTAGATAAATCTGACTGTTGCTGCTACTGCACATTTTATTCATGATTTTTTTTTTGACAAACAGGTTGGGCTGTCAGTACAATGATACCCAGGTAACATGGCTTAACTGAGCTGCTGTTGTCTAACCCTCAGGAGTCTGGAATGTAATAGAAATGCCACTGACTGGTAAAGACATGAATCATCTATGCCAGTCAAACAGTAGTGATGGAGGACATCAGCTTTGAATGGTAAAAATATATGGGTTTAAATTAGTCGTGTGTCTTTATGACTTGCCATAATTATTTATTTCTTATTGAACATAATATTTTGTGCACATTTTTTGTTTCTGTTCAATAACATGGACTATTGTTTTTTCATACACAGGTGAAATCACAGTCACCATCACCATTAGTTAACACTTAACTGTATCAGTATAATCTTAGCACGAGAAATTCATGATCTAAGCAAACACACACACACACACACACACGAGGAGAGTGTTGCCATGGATCACAGAGGAAACTCAAGAAGGAGAGAGGGGATGAAGGAGCTGTTAAATCTGATCTGTCCACTGCTGACAACAGCAACATCAGTGCAAGCGGCCGTTCATCATCTGCTGTGGCGGCTGCGTGTGTACGTGTGTACGTGTGTACGTGCGTGTGTGTGTTATATAATGTTGTGATAAAGCTGCCTGATCTAACTGTGGCTGCTGAGCCTCTTACCTGAGTATCAGGTGGAGGCTAAAGAAACAGCACCTCTCACCTCAGTGGACGTTAGGGTTAGTTTAAAAGTGAACTCATTCATAACACTAGTACTCAAAGGTGGCAAACATTGCTGTCCTTGCATTTTTCTGAGGAGTAACTGAATCTTTTTTGATGGTAACAACTCACATAAATGAACATAAGCTCAACATCAAACCTGGTCCGAGTTACAATCATTATAAGGTTATTAGATCAACGCTCCCTAAGACTTGTTCTTGTATCTAGTTTGGTTTGACCATAAATCCACTCATCAATAGGTAGAATGTGTTTTTATTGTTCATGTTCTCAGTCTAATGTTGTTTTCATATCCCCTCAGGTCAAACAGTTCCAGCATCATGACAATAAAGTAATACATAATCCCTGGCATGCTGCATGAACACCTGCTTAGCTCGTGGCCCCCTAAATTATTCAGGGGTCATGAAGATGTACAGGACACCCGTGTGTAAACTGTCACCGTGAGTGTATGCAGCCCAGTGTCCATCTCTGCCTGCTGTGACCTAGATCTCTGACTGTAAACAGCTGCTTCCTAAAGCGACGTGGTGCTGCCATCAGCAGAACGGTCAGCAGAGATAAATGTCAGATTGGACACGGACTGAGCCTCGTGATGCAGCTCAGGCCCCGGGGTTGGTTTAGGAGTTAGACAGACACTTCACTTCCCACTGCTGCTGCTGCTGCTATCACTGCTGATGCCCACGCTGCTGCTGTACACATGGACATCAGAGTATTTTAGTTTACATCACATCCCACTGTGATTTACAACAGCATTTAGATGTTATGTTCAGAATTTTTTGTCAAGACAAAAAAACAGTTTGTAAACTTCAACTGAATTCACACATACATTTACATTTATATATTAATATATAACATATATATAATATATATATATATATATATGATATATATTAATATCTTAAATAATTAAGATTAAATATGGGACAAATCCCAGCTGTAACCTGGGTGAACTACACAGAGGTGCGTCCACACTGATTATACGTTGACAGCACAACAGTGAATCATCTTAAGAAGATTTGAATAATCCCTCTGAATGTCAACTGTTGTCAAAGAGTAGGATTGTAAACTCCAGGTATTATGCTATTACTTGAGTACTACTTCACCAGGTAATTTGTCAGAGTGTAAAAAAAAATCTGTTTTTGATGTTAGCGAATGAGCAGCAACGCTGTTTGAACGGTGAGGTCTTTTACAAATGTTCAGATTTAAAACATAATTTTCAGTAACTCCAACACTGATGCAGATCACTTTATATCAGACCTGCGTCCTTGAGAATAATAACGGAAATTAAAATGAATAGCAATACGTACACTAAGTGTATGATAAATGAGAGGAAGACACAGAAAAAAATAAAGAAACATTAGCCGCTGAAATTAACCAGCTAGTTATCCAAAGTTATCCAAAACCAGGAAGATAGAAATGAAGCTAATGTTAGAGAGTATGAAAAGGAAAATCACAATTGTTGCCTTAATGAAACTGTAACTTTTACAACACTGTAGCTGAAAAAAAAGACAGAAATGTAGCAGTATTTAACTAATTAGCTGGTAAAAAAAAAAAAAAAACAATCCTGGAAGTTGCTAAAAAATAAAGAAATAAAGTTTATAACCTAATCATAAATAGTTAAAATTGTTAATAATGAGATTCAAACATAGCCAGCAAGAACAAATTGATAAATTATCAAAATTAATTAATAATTAGTCAAATGTAACCTAACAGAGCTGGACGTATGGATATTTAAATGTAGCTCAGATCACTCAAGAAAACAACTAACAACTTTGTGTCAAAGTGCCTGACACCTGTTGGTTTTTTCTAGTTATTTAATCCAATGGATCTCTTTTTTTTTGTATTCAAACTTTTTTTAAAAAGGTTCTATAAAAAGATGACAACCTTGTGTTGAAAAGGACCTTGTTTTGGCTGGGACAGTTGCTCCAGTGCTTATGAAGTGATCTCCACAAACACCGTGTTCCATTTGTCTTTTAACGGAGCTCTAATACCTCACCCTCGACCCCTCACCCTCCGGCTCACCACTGACTGCTGACACAGCCATTACTCACCAGTTTAAAGCAGCTCTTTGGCCGTGGAGCTCAGTGGGTTCGTTAAGGTTTTAGGGAGGGTGTCGCGTGTTGGTTTTGGGAGGAGGTGGATGAAGTGCAAAGGGTCAGGCTAATGGGCAGCTGGGATTACCGCTATCCCACCATCTGCCATCCAAACAATAATCAGTGTTAGGAAATCAATTGGCTGAGTGACTATCATGGATAAATTAGTTCATTTGACCTTAAAAGTTGAACTGGAGCTCCATTTTCACTGCATATTTTCAGACTCAGGAGTCAAGTAGTTTCATGTCTTAAATATTACAGTCAGTCAAATGACTTAAATGACTGAGAATGAGTTGACAACATAAAAAAGATATTATTGGAGAATTCATCTAACAATTCTGTGTCTATGACTGCAGGCTTATCCTGTCCGTAAATGCAAGTTTTACTGCTGTTGATTTTCTTTCCACTGCAATTTTGTTGTTTTTTTTTATCTAAGGTTTAATGTAACATTCCTCAAATTGAGACCAATTTAAAAACGGCTGTTTTAAATATTTTAAAAATAACCATGTTTCATTAAATGCATTTTTTACAATAATAGTAACAGTCCTGTGAATCGGGTCACAACAGTATAATTGGACATCATTTTTAGGTCATGGCTTAAACATAAAAAAGACAACAATTGAATCTACGCAGAAGGAAAATCCAGTTTTTGAAGAACGTGTTCTGTAGGAGGAACCCTGAGCTGCCCAAATCTAATCTGCATGGCATCATACATGTGGAACTGAGGTGACCAAAAGGAGCAGTGAGGGTCAGATTTACTCTCCTAGAACACAGATGCTGCTTCCTATGAATCATGCAAACCACTTACAGAGCTTACAGCCGTAATTAAAACAGATGGCATACTTTTTCCCGCCTTTTACTAATGCACTGTATTGTTATCTAATCGGATCAGTCATAATTTAACTGATATCAACATCCTGTCTTTGATAACCCTTTTATCTTCAGTCATCCAAATCTCCAACTGTCATAATCCTGAGTGCAGCAATTCATGGGCACACAGCAGCCACCCAGTACAGTAGACTATGAAGTACACCACTACAACATCTCCCCGGGTTTACTGTAAGATAATCTTTGAGCGCACACGTTGCCAGCTTCCTGTCTAACTGAATGAAAAACATGTTCTTAAACAGAAGGGTAGCCAGTTGCCCTGTGACGTCAGTGCAGTGTTGGTTCATTGTTCCAGGCTGCTGCAGCAGGGCCGCGTCAATGGAGGATTAGTGAGCGGCGGCACATGTCATGGAGTGAGAGTGTGGGCCGGTGTTCTGGTACGACCTGTCTACAATGGCTCAGAACTGACATGCCACACACAAGAAGGTTTATCTGTGTGTGACGCAGGAGTGGTAGAGATCCTACGCTTGTATGAAGCTTGAATATCCTTTCCCCAAATGGATTTATCCACAATTTCCATAAAGTGTAGCATGATAAAAACATTTGTGTTCATTAGCAGCATCTTCACCTGATGACTGCCATCGGCCCCCCACACAGGAAGGGGCTGGAACTGTCCTTCAGCAGCTCTCTACGGCCCCACTTATTATCTTATCTGCCATTGTCAGTTGTAGATGCCTCACTCATGATTGATGACATTGCTGTCTGATTACAGCAACACAATGAACCCAGAAGATCACTTTTCATTCCTACGGCCAACTCCACAAACTCTGTGAAGGCCCCCTGGATGCTGAGAGGGAAAATGTTACACTGACCATGTTACACTGATGATGCGACCGTGACCAGCTACGGTTTATTGGCAAGCGCTGAGGATGAGAAGTTTGATGGGAATCAAATTATCTAGATATCTAGGTAATTATCTAGATGTAGCGACCAAGAAACACTTCCACATAAGGAGCTTCAAATTGTTCAGCACTAAAGGAAATAAGGAAGCTGTCTTATAAAAGATTTAGTGTCGTCTCTTCTGCTTCAGATCATGTCCCCCGTCCTGCTGTGAACAAATCAGATAGGTAGCCTGTGCTCTTTTTAACAGAGACAGTGAGCCTCATCCCTCCATGTGGCAGGTGGAGACAGACGCCTCATTATCCGTGCCACAGGAGACAAAGCAGCCGCAGGACCCAGTGTCCCCCCTCCATGCAGACTGGCATTCAGTTTCCAGAGAGCCGACACAAGGCAACCTTGGACCACGGCCGCGCTGCACTCATCTCTGACCTCAGCGAGCGCAGGTCGCTCACAGAGTCACATTAAACTTTCAGAGGACCCAAAGGTCCTCGTCAGCAGTGTTAACAACAGCATTGTCTGTGTTCCCCTCCACTCAAAGGCCCAGATGAAACACAGCACCCCCTCCAGTGGTCAGGGCCGCCCCCCGGGTCCACAGATACAGTGACACTCCTCAGATGCAGCTACATTTTCTTTGAGTCTCTTTAATTCAGAAACAGACAAGTGGCTCATTCTTAAAAACAACTCCAGTGTGTGTGAAGTGTCACTGGAGCTTTAGCCACTGTGTGATTTTAGACAATATTTTTTATAATCCACTCTGAGTACTGAGCCACAAGAGGTCAAAGTCATGGGACTGCTGCAGATTAACCATCACATTTAAGGGTCAGTCTACCTGTACACACGTCTGTGGACAAGTATATAATGTACAGTAAGATATGTGTACATTCACCCTGTATTATAGTAAATATAACTGGTCTGAGAAAGAAAGTAAAGACACCATGTACTGGTAAACAACTAGAATCTTAATAATGTCACAGGACTGATCCCATTTTCTGTTCTTTTAAAGACTGAGATGCCTCTACTACTGTAGGTGGAGACCTCTACTATTGGACAATAGATTTAGTTGGTGGTGCTGGTGCAGCAGTAGCAGGTCCAACTTAGTTTTGACGAGCCTCCGTCTTTGGCAGGTAATGTGACAAAGAAATTTAGAATAATTCATGACACAAAGTCAGAAGCAAGAGAACAACATCAAAGAGGGAAGCCCTGACCAGTCTTTGCTTGAGATTTACCCAAAACTTTTTTTTCGTTCTTTTATTGTTTTTCTTTCTGTTACATGAAAAAGTTCAAGTTTCCATAATTAATGTATTAGATTTTCTTTAGGTTTCTTTAAGTTTATGTTTATTATGTATATTTATTACATATAACTACACATTTTTTTATTTCAGCTACAGTGCTTTTATTAACTGGCCAATATTAAAAATGTATCACATTTTTAAATGTATTTATATCAGAGTATACACTAAGATATAAAACCATGGTGCTGCCATCTAGTGGTGATAGCCCTTATTACATCATCTAATCAGCCGGTGAATTTCTATATACAAGACTATTTTGAATAACTGAAAAGGAAATGATTGTATTTTTTTAACCTATGAAATAAAGTCAGGTCATCAATTTGACTTGTCCTTATTCTTGGTCCACCGATGCAGTAAATAGAAAAACACAACAATATTTACAACAAACTGGGTCATTCCTATTGAAGAATATCCATAATTTACATACAGGAAGCCTCCAATAGTCGGACCGACTGTGCGAAGAAGGGACTGAACAGATGAACATAATCCCAGCATAGTGCCTGTGAGCAAAAGCAAAATATATTTTCATGAGTCAGTCAGTTTGAAATGCCAACAGATCTGAATTTTTAATCTAAAGATACTATATTTGGATGCTGTGGCTGTAACTACATCTTATATACAGAGTCAATAAAGATGAATAACAAGTAAAACATATGCTGTAATACACTGTGTTGTGCAGAATGATGTCACCTGTGTCAGAGGACGGAACACTCTTGGTGAGAATGCTGTCTGTGATGACGTTAAACAAACTGAGGGAAAGCATCATGGGAACCACAATGAGGCACAGGTGGGTCACATTCTGCATATAAGCCTGCAGAAAAAAATACAATATACAAAATACAAACAATATTAATTTGGATCTCTAATGTTTAAGACCTTTGCACTACATTTATAGAAACTAATTGTACAGGGATGTGTATGTTTGACAAGTTATTCTGTTTATTATTAACTTTATTAACAACTCACTGTAATAATTCAACTTGGTTCATATCATGATTATAGAATCTTCTGCTTAAAAGAACTATATCTACTACAGTTATCGAAAATCAGACTGGGATTTTAAGAAATGAAAACTATGAAAACGCACAACCAAGAAAAAAACTTTTAAAAAATGGCACAGAAAAGGAAATGTTGTATAAAACAAAAACAATGTGAAGGCATAGATGTTTCTGTACCAGTGCCAGTCCAACAGCAGAGGAAAGTCCAACTGACAGAACCAGCAGCATGCTCTCTGAGAACCTTCCTGTTAGTCTTCCGAGAACTCCTCCTTGTATCATCTGAAAAGTATGACCGATATTATTACAGTCTGACACCAACGACGGCAACAACAACAAGAACATGAGCGACTGTTTTAGTGACACCCACCATTTGTACTATTCCAAGGTAGGCCATCAGATATCCATTCTGCTCAGGCCCCAGTTTAAAGAGCTGAAGTGCCATAACTGAAAACATGACCTGGAAAATCCCTTTAAAATGTGCACAGTATGGACAACCCAGTTAAGAGTTTGAGTGTTGATAACATCCTCACAGTATAGAAATGCTGATGGTTTTATTATTCGTTCTCATACCTGATGGTAAACCTGCGACTACCTTCACAATAAATGTTTGAGTCACACGTGGAAACGTCATCAGTCTTGTGATCTCGCTCACATTAAATATTGATTTGTTTTCTTTCTCACCTGCAACAGATAGCAACAGATAGGAAACAAAATATAAATGTGTTACATTTTTTAAGTTTTTGAGTCAAGTGAAACCAACAATGCTCTGAGTAGATTTTTAGCAACACAGAAATTTAGAGGGAGGTATCTTCTTCTTTTTCTTTTGGCTTTGTCCCTTTTTTCAGGGGTTCCCTCACTGCATCCATATATCTCCTCTTTGGCCTTCCTCTTTGTCTCCTACCTGGTAGCTCCATCTCTAACATTCTTCTACCAATGTATCCACTGTCCTGTTTTTTCTTTTTTTACTTACAGGAAATGTAGGAAACCAAACATATTGCTTAGTGTTAAAAAACACATCACTACAGTGAGATTAAATTCCATTTAAGATATTGTATGGCAGTAGTCTTACCATCTTTTTTGGTCACTGGAGCATCACCTTTGGTATTATTCGGAATAAAGTTTAAAACCAGCACTAGGCTGAAGGCACTGCCCACGGCACCAACACAGGCAGCAAAAGTCTCACTGCAAGAAAAAGAAAGAATGTCAGTACAAAAGCAGTTATTCCTGTTAGAAAATAAACATGGGCTTAAATAATCATAGTTTTTAAGCCATATTATTCTACGTGCAATCCAAAACTCAGTAGACTTTGTTCAATGGTCAGGCTCAATCAGGCCAAGTCTGCACTTCATTACACAGCTTTTCTCTCCGAATGTGACACTCACCCATAATGCTTGCTCAGTTGACCGCCCAGTGTGGAGCCAGCTATCATACCGAAGCCAAAGCACAGACCCAGTTTGGATAAAGCATCTGCTCGTTTATCAGGTTCAGAAAGATCCGTCACAACCATCTGAGATGCTACGAAAGGAAAACAAATATATTTTCAGAAAAGATTCAGTTAAAGTTTACAAAAGAATATAAAATACATTTTTCTTGTAGTCTTTAAAGGAATGAGAGCTGCATTTTAGAAGAGCTTACATAAAGCCTTAGATCACTAAACACTGAGCTGAACACACGGCAAAGGTGGGGTGCTCACCAGGAAGCACATGCATAAAGACTGTTGGGATTTTATGGACGAACAGCATGAGAGGGTGGGTTGCTATAGCCAGCAGCAAAAAGAATACCACAGTGGCACCACAGGCCAGAGACAAGGCAATCCGTGCCCCAAAGAGATCTGCAAACCTGCCAAAAAGAACAAGTCACATATGTATTGCAGAATTATGTAACATTTGTATTACATCACAGTGGGGCACAGTGCATTGTGACCTGGATAACACAAAAATTAACAGTTACATTTAGTGCAGTCATGTTTGCCTTTACTCACCTTCCAAACAGAGGACCACCAAGAAGCTGAATGACACCCACTGTGGTTTGTAAATATCCTAACCACAAAGTGTCAAAGCCGAGTTTTGTTGCCAAATACTATTTAGAGACAGAAATATCATATTGTTATGTGCAATGAAATTAGTGTTTTTTTAAACAATAATAATACTCAGGGTGATTGGCTGTGCTTTACACTGTCACTGGTGTACCTCCCCCCCACCTCCCCTGTCAGCTGGGATTGACTCCTTCCCCAATACGATGTACGAGTATGTGGTAGTAGAATGCTAGAGGACATTGGATTTATTTATTGTGAGCTATAGCACACGGAATTAGGATTCTTTAGAATATACAAGAAGTTTACTAACAATACATAATAAGTAAATTTGTTCTATATGAAATGATAATCTGTTTCAAGAAACAAATGTATCTATGAACTACCAGTGACAGTGAGCCCCGCCCTCCCCCCCCACCGTGGGCAACGAAACTTCTCGGAAGTTTCAAAGGGAAACTTCTTGTGTAAAAACACTGCTGTAGATTTGAAGATAAACTCTTTGACAGAAGTGTTGTGTAAGCGACAGGGTAAAACTGAACTTCCCGTTGCGACATGACATGCAGATTAAGACTTAATATACTTACAGGGGTGACAGAAAACTGTAAAAACATCCATGTTATGTCTAAAGCAGCGATCAGGTAAACGATATGAATAATTCTCTTCCTACGCGGTTGGTCCAAAGTATGATCTTTTCCACTCATAGTGACATAGGGAAAAATAAAAAATAAAACCTCTGTTTGTCGGTGTTACAGAATCAACGATAATACGGCTGCAGGACACTGTCCTCTAACCCGATGAACTTTGACATAGACCATAAAAACAATGTCGGTTGAACTTTAACGCACACGACTCAACGAGAAGGAGGAGTTACTGAAGTTCGTGTTAGTAACGCTGTTTAATGGAGGGAGTATTGTTTACCAACTACCACGTCCAATATCCTAAATACAGGAAGAAAAACATGGACTGCAGAGAAAAACAGCTAGTGAAGGTGGAGGTTTTCTAAGGTGATGCATTTGAGAGCACACAAAATCGTAGGAATTCACATTTGTTCAGAGTTGAAGATCTAAAACCACAAACAGTATTTTAAAATGTGTTTGCAAGAAGACAGGGAGAAAGTAATACAATTATAATGTATTTGGGCAGAAATATTCCACCACTGTCAAAAAGCACTCGTTCCGTGATGTAAATAAGTGTAAAGAGCAATACAGGTTTGCAGGGTAAAAGTCCCTGAGAGTTGGTTTATCGCTACATGCATTTTTATATGTATATACAGTATATATATATATATATATATCTCCATCTATGTTTTCTCTTGGTAGCCTGGTTGACTTTCTAAAGCAGCATAGTTTTGTATCGTTTTGTACGTACAGATTTCATTACGCCAGAATCTTGGACATGTTTAAAATAAAAAATATGCATTTGCGGATATGCATTTTCTTTGAATAGCTAATACCAATGCAAACTAACAAGGTATGTTAATACGTGCCCCGCCAGTTTAATATAAAACACTATTTTATGCAGTGTATGTGGTATGGAGTATCCCCCTCTTTTCTCTATTATTTCGGAATAATATTTTCGGGAAAACTACAAGCACCCTGATATACCGTTTTTTGGAAATTGTACAGTATATAATTGTACTCTTATTTTGAAGCCACTTCCACCCGGAAGTATGCTCCATCATCTGGACCATGGACTGTCAGTAGTGTGTTCCATAGTTGGGTTATTTGTCCTGTAGGGATGAGTGTCAAAATCTGACCCTGTGTCGGCATTTTAACAAGTATAATTATTTGGCGGGTCTTATTCTGACAAAGTCAGCGGGTGACAGCGCTGCAGTGACGATGCAGATCCTGACTCCTCACGTTTACTGGGCTCAGCGTCACGGTGAAATTTATCTGCGGGTGGAACTAAGCGATGCCAAGGTAGGACGGTCCCGTCCCGGACACTCAGCTGGATGCCTTCACACTTAAACAAAACAAAACTGTTGTTTTGTTTGTTTACATATTGGTCGAAGAAGTTTTTTATTATTTTTCTGTTTTCTCCTTATCTGGCCGCGGCTAGTGTTCATTCTATTGTGGTGTGGCAGCCGTTAGCTTATCTCTTAGCTCTCTACATGCTAGTGTGGTAGTGGGATTATATGTGACGGTAGGACAACTGGAGCCACCTTTGAAAACTCACCGGTTTTACCTGTGGTTACTGTGGTTCTGATACGTAGTTTGTCAAGGTATTCAATACAATTATTATTAGATATATGAGCTTTCAACAGTTGACAGCTGATAAGCCGATAGAGAAGCGGTTCTTCAGGTCTAACTGTCAAAATAATGGTCGTACCGACTCCCAGGGCTGATTTCTCAAGAGGCTCACCTTCCGACTTCAGTTCAGGATGCATGCATCTGCCTGATGCTATTCTATCCCTGGATGCCGAAATATGTCGACTGAGGTACATTGATTCAGAATT